CCCCCCTCCCTTTTCTTCCTCCTCGGTAAGGTTACTTTACATATTATTGCTCATCTTCTACAACACTTTCTATTTTTCGTAAAATACACTTTCTATTGTTACTAAAATGCTTAACAGAACTAATTTAAATTTAATCTTAACCAATTACAGCTACCTCAATCGTCGTAATGACGAGGTCCAATTGTGGTAAGGGTAAGAAATGTATACAACTTAATAGACCGAAACATTTTTTACCATTGTAATAATTTTATTAAAATAATTTTACTACTTTTACTCACTTCTAATATTACTTTCTCTTCCATTCTCCTTTCAATTTTAATATATCTATTTTTCAACCCGCTGATTGGCTTGACCTCATTCGCTTGGAAAAACGATCTTCGCTTCCCACTACGAAAAAATCCCATAAAACCATAAGCTATCTCGAGGTCACCTTTATCTGTCTTATCACAGCAGCCTTTTCCCTTCACAGTAGAAATTCTACTAAGTAAAAACGCAGTAACTAGTAATAAACAATACCTGAAATTTGTCCTTCCGGATATGGAAGATCACTTCTATCATATACTGGGTCCTTTTGTCTATTTCTGCGTCATTCAGAATGCTCCGCAACCGGTCAAAAATTGCTAAAAAAATTTGGTATGATAAATTAATCCCCGAAAACATAAGGATGACAAAAAAGCAAGTTTTTTTTACAAATTATTTTTAAAAATAAAAGAGCTGATAAAGGGGATGGAAGATGAAATGCTTTGTTTTTAGCTTAGTATGGCCGAAAATATCAACAGCTTTGCCCGCAGATGGTTGTTGTTGGCACATGTCTGGATTTTTCTAAGGGCATTTACCTCTTAGAAGGCGATTTAGTGACAGAATTTTGATTTTCCTGACATTCAAGATAGGTTGACACAAACATAATACAGATAGAAATGATGTAAGCAGATTGCAGCATACAGGTTGACCCTGGAAGTGCAGATGGCGAAGGTGTGATGGAATTCAGAAAGAAAGAGCAGTGTAGGAGAGAAGGTAAGAGTGAGATAAGACGTTTCGGTCCATTAAGTCATATACGTCTTAACTCAACACTGCTACTGAACCTTGTCAATATAACGGTTGCAATGCTTAATGAGAAGGGGAAATGAAAGAAAGTGGGACGCTGTGATCGTAGAATTATGGAGTGTAAATGGGATAAGGGGGTAAGAAAAAAGAAAAATTGACAAGATACTTGCCATTTAAGCCAGCAGGTGAAATTTCGGAAAGTTTCGCGCCACATTCTTTCAAAAAAGCTACCGTCACTTCGATTGAATCATCCGTTGGATTCTCAAGCATCAATATCATCATGTCAAGCGCAAGAATCTCATGAATCTGTAAAAGTTGTTATAAAAATCTGTGTGAAACACCGGTGATATATGGTTAGCATAAATGCTGCAAAATTATGTTTAAGAAACTTTCTGCAAGGACTGTTTGACGATTATCTGTGGGTTTACGATTATCCGTTTCGGGAAAATCATAATATTTTGATAAATTTATAAGCTTGTAGCTGGATAGATCTGCGTTTCTTGATTTCTTATGTATATTTTTCGAAATATCATG